CCCCCCCCCCCCCCCCCCGGAACCCATACTGAAGATGGATCAGTTCTGCTTTTGTTGAATGAAGTGGAACACAGCTCTCCTCTAAATGATATCAATTTAAGACTAATTTTTTTTTAAGAAAATGGTCAACAGTATATTGCCTTAGGGCGAGCTGCTAATGACATCCTCCAATTGCTGTACATCCTTATTTTTTAAAAACCTAATTTTAGTAGTGAAAATCATAAATTGGCTCTTAAAATAGTTTCAACTCATAAAACAGCACAAATGCAAAATGTGAATTTCATCTGCAGGAGAAACTCTAATCATTTTCTGTTCACTTCTGCTCATTGGAAAAGCAAAAGCAAATGTTGCCTGGGAACTATTAAAGCAATAAAAGAAAATCTACTTAATCTACTTTAAATGTCATCTCTCTCTTTTTTTAAAGTAGGTAACTCCTTGGTGTGCATAATTAGTCGCTGGAGGATAAACTGGCCACACACAGTGTCAGCCATGATGAAGTCTCCAGTATCTCGCTGAGTGCTCAGCTCTGGGGGTGTCACCATTGCCCAGAGCCCCTAAAAGCCACCCTGCACTGCTGCAGTGGACTCTACAGCTGTGGAGTTTGTGCTGTGGGTGGTGGTTCTCAGTGGTCTGTGCCCCCATGTTGACTGGCACTGTGTTCTGCATTCTGGCATCAGCAGCCAACGATCACGGCTAGGCTTGGGTAATCCACTGCATGGGGTCCATCCTGAGGTTTGGAAGGCATTTTAGAGCAAACTTTTTTTTTTTTGGCCACATATGCACAGTAGTGTTGGCTGCAATCACAGTATTTGGTCTCAAAACCCAAAGCTTGGCAAACTGAGAGTCCAAGGGTTCCACTGGCTCCTCTGTGTTAGCTCTGGCATATACCAGGGTTTAAAAGACTGTGGCACAAAACACAGAGGCAACAAATGGGAGCTGGTGTCTCTAAATAAGGATCATGACCCACAGCTCTTTCCCCCATCAGGCACTGAGGGCTTTCTAAGGGACGCAATGGGAGAGCATTCCTGACCCCCAGGGGCATAGTCTTTAAAGAAAGGAGACCAGAAGAGTGATCTGAGGGTATGTGTTGGTGTTTATCAATGGCTTTATGTATGGGATGTCTGAACCCAAGTGCTCCAGTGCTTATAAGAGGCACAAAATGATGTATGGATGGGTTGGAGGTGGAGGCGAGGTAAAATAGATTTTCTTAACACAAAAAGAGGATAAAGCCAGTTCCTGATAGAAGCCCACTTCACAGAGTAATGACCTTCTTTCCAACTGGCGGCTAAGGGCTTAGTTTTTCTTGCTGTTAGATCCTGAAGTTAAAGGCCAGTTACAGGTAGGCATGGATCTCAGGAAGGTCTGCTTCTATATTCAGGTTGTTCCCCTTTTCTTGGTGAATAAAGACCATCCCCATTTCATGTGGGCGTTAAAGTCCTGAGCCCTCTAACCCTGGCTGCTGTGCCTATTTATTTCTGTGTGGATGAAACAAGCTCATGGGGCATTATTGCTTGTCTCTCTTATCAGATAGCCAACAACAGCCTTCGAAGTAAAAGAAAAATACGTTTACATTTCATCTAGTAATTTCGGTTGCTATTAGTTCTTCCTTTATTTCCAGGTAAAAGTAGAGTTTACTCTCACAGAATGCTTATTATAATAATTCTTTATGATATTGGTACCATCTGCCTTTGATGTTATGATTCCCTTAGTTAACCATATGATTTTCAACATTAACCAAACAGCTGCTATGGGAGAAGGCATACATTTTCAGGACTCCACAGTGGAAACAACTCCCATATCCTGACTCTTCCTAAAGTCACTTAGAAAAACTCGATTTTCCCAGTGGTCATTTTGAGCACGGTATAGAAAAGAGAAGAGGTAAATAGATGGAATGGCTGGAACAGAGGGATGTTACTTTGTACGTTTTTAATGTTATCCTTTGTGTACACAAAAGTTCTACGCATCACTACTTAATAGAGGATACACCATTTAGCAAATGTAAGAAATTACAACAGTTGTTATTCTTATCTAGAAATCTATTATTAAAGTGGATGACTAATACTGCCCCCTAAAGCTACACCTTCTCCAGGGTTCAGAGCCATGAGCTAAGCAACGCTGTGATAAAACAGCTTAGGGAGATATGCCATCTTCTCTCTCAGAGCTAATTTTTTTGATTTATATTTACTTTTCATTTATTTATGTATTTTTTAGGAACTATCTGAATTTTATTTTGCTTGTTTATTTTGATAGAAAGGGAACCTGAAGCTTAAGTTGAGACAGATCCCGTGGACTGGAGTGGCAGAGTTCACTCAAGAGCCCAGGTACCCTAATGGCTTCACGGCAACAGTAAGGACGGTGAGCGTGTGTTAAGTGTGTGCTATGGGCCGAGCTCTGCTCAGAGCTCTTACTATTGTTCACCTAATGATGTCATTTAATTCTCACAACAGGCCCAAGATATAATATATAGTCAGTGCTCTGCATCTGTGGGTTTCACATCTGTGGATTCAACCAATGGAAAACACATGGAAAACATCCAAGGAAAAAAAATTGTACTGAACATGCACAGACTTTTTTTTCTTGCCATTATTCTCTAAACAACACAGTATAACAACTATTTAAGTAGCATTTACGTTGTTTTAGGGATTATAAGTAACCTAGAGATGATTTGAAGACTTGCACATCCTTGGATTTTGGTATTCACAGGAGGTCCTGGAACCAATCGCCCATGGATGCCGTGGGATGACTATATTACTATACCAATTTACACATGAGGAAACTGAGGCAAGAGGAATAAGTCACTGCCCGTGTCCCCGTGGAACTGTCCACTTGGGAATTTCCTATGATGGGTCTTTGTCTATAGCTAAAACTAAATAGAAGCCCTGAAGAAACTGTAAGTTTCTCTCTTTTCTCTACACCATTTTTTCTTTTGGTGGTGACGGGTAGCTTTCTGGTTATTACTGGCCCTGCACCTATCTAAAAAAAACCAAGAAAAAAATCTTTTATCATCATTTACATTTTGGCATTCATTCATGCCAATACTTATAGTCTTCCAGACATTTTTATTCTTAAACTTCATCTCCATGAAATGAAAGTCTTTGTCTCTAGCTAAGGAATCTCTGGCCAAAGCACCGGGAGAGGAATAACTGGCCAGAAATAATCACGGTACATGTCACACGCATGGCCTGGGCTCCGTGGTGGGCAACAGGTCTCAGTACAGAGGCCAAGAGAGGCTGGTGGCTGTATCCATAACCGCTGGTGAGTGCCGGGGAGAGGGGGGTGGCTGGGGGAGGGGACAGTACATTCCTGGCAGGTCGGCTCATTCTCGCGAGCGAGGACATTGGAATTGGAAACCCAGCCCAGCTGCCATTTTGACCTGTGACCCTAGGAAGGAGCCCTGTGAAGGAGAAAGCAACCACAAAGGGACCTTTTTCTCTCTTTGTTCATGGTTTGTCAGTCATCTTGTACCGCTTCTTGGAGTTAGTGATGATGGGTCTCAGGACCCCGCAGAGCCCACTGTTCCCCAGCGCGACGCCTCCCTCTCCAGCCCCGGTCCCCAGCCCCACACGGCCTCCTCCGCGCACCGCACCCGCATTCACTGCTAACCACAATGGCGGGACTCAGTGACCCGGAAGTAAAAGCGGCAGAGTGGCCCTTAATCCCCAAAGTCATCTCCACTCCGGTCACTTCTTCCCCTCCTCCCTCCGTTCAATGCACTTGTCTGTCACACACGGACAAATGCCTCCAACGTGACTGAAGGGCTGGCCTCTCTGAGCTGACTGCCACCAAGTTGCAAGAGAAATCATCTTCCCTCTATGTTGGCACAAGAAAGCAAGTCCGTAAATTGTGATCACACTATGCAAAGCTGTCCTTTCTCTGGGAGCGGGGAGGCGCTGACCAGCTCTCTTTCATTTGTGGCTGCCTGGATCCACCCTTTGAGCACGCAGCAAATGTTCACGCTGCCCAGAAAACAGCCATCAAAGGACCAGGCCGCCTCGCCCCCCTCCAAAATCCCGCAGCCTTTGTTGTCACTGGAGCTGGGTGGTTATTGAACTCTGCAGACCTGCTGGGCCTGGAAAGTGAAAACACCCTCCCGAGCCAGCAGGGGTGGTGCTGTGTGCCTGGGAGATAGCGCTGGCCTCCAGGCCGGCGGTTGCCATGGCGCCTGGACACCGAGATCACGCCTTATGAATGTCGCCCGGGTCTGTGACTAAAGTTGTTTATGAGTCAAAAGTCTCCTGAAACTACAGGAGGAAATGATGACCACACCTCGGCCGGCTGTGGGAAAGATGGAGTGTCCTGGAGAACGACATGCTTTTCTCCCCACTTGGTTTGCAGAGGAAGATAGTCTTTAAATATGCCATGTGGAGCAAGACAAGCTGAACACACTGACATTTCATTCATCACTGGGCATGAGACAGTGAGGGGGAAGCAGTATTTTAAATCATATGCTGGCCCGCTGTAGTTTTAAAATCCACCAATTCCCGTGTGTTGTGGCTTCTGTCCTCCGGTGTGCAGGGCTACCAGTGTCTGCACCACAGCCTCAGGATCCCAGGGAACAGATAAAGTCACGGACGCCTCCCCTTCCCTTGCAGAGAAGTGTTAAATAGCGGTGATCATTGTTAGTTCTGCAATATGGGCGTGTAAAAACGCCCACATGAAGGGTGTGACAGTCACAGCAAAGAAAGGCAAAACTGATGGCCACCAGGGGAAAGCATGTAGATTTTACTTCTATTTCTGCAACATTTCCCCCTCCCTGGAAAAAAGGATATCTCTTCTGATATTTGGAGAACTATGTCAGAGAGAGGAAGGAGACCGAGAGACTTCTCTTTTCAACAAAGAGAAACAGGGAAAGAAGAAAAATAGAGAGGGCAGGGGCCCCTCTCTTTCTCTGCACCCCACTAAGCAGCACATGATTAAGGTGAAGGGGGGCACATTACTCAAGAAAGAAGCAGAAGGGAGGAGGGACGGGTGGAGGATGCAGGGAGCACAGTGCATCAAGGGAAGCTTTGGGAAAGTAATCCATGTGCACGCTATTAAATTCCACCTTGCCCTTGAAATTCAGGTCTGTTTTTAAAAGTTAGAACCTGATTCTTAACTTCATGTCATAAAAAATTAGACTTGTTTTTCAAAGAGGATTCCCTATTATATCCCTTTATGCATCTAGTTCCGTGTTCATTAAAAATATTATTCCATTAGCAAATAGGACGTATAGAAAGTTTTGAGGACTTCCCATATGGCCTATATTGAGATCCCCTTTTATCCCCCCATTTCCTCCTCCTGAGGGTCATTCTCTCCCCTGATTTCAGACAGACGAGAGCTGCTTACGTCTGACACGGTGCAGTTCAGCTGGAAGATCTGCCCTTCTCCTTCCACCTGCCGCACGCAGAGTTTGCAAACCAGCTCCACCGTGTTCAGGCTAAATCTTTCCAGAGTGAAGATGCAGTGGAGGTTTCTCTGAGATCCACTCCAGATATGGTAAAAAGGAATTTCCTGAAGGATATAAAAGTGTCAACCACGAATGAGGGACTATTACCAAAAGCAACTATCAGACACTCTCAGCTAGGTGCTGTTCTTGGTATTATACATTTACCTAAGTTAATCCTCACAACAGCTCTGTGTGTAAGTACATCCTGACCCCCTTTCACATGAGAAAAACTGAGGCCCAGAGAGGTTAAATGACCTACCCAATGTCACACAAGTAGGAAGTGGCAAAGTCAAAATTTGAATCTAAGGAGTCAGTCTCCAGAATCCATATACCTAACCAGTCTGTCATGTGTCTCTCATTTAGAAAAAAGAGCCATTGTAAATGACTTTTTAGTTCAAAAAATTCCCAAAATAAAACCTACATTCACCAGTCATCATTGCTCATTAAAAGGAATCCCTGCTGTGACATTCTGGAGAAAAACAGAGAAAGTCTAAAGGATAATGCACCGATACTGTTCTCTTTCATGCCTACATCCTTGCTCTGCACAGAGCGGCGAGAGCCAAAACTCACCACAGTGGGAAACTGCAGACTCAGCTGCCACAAAAAAGTCCTTGGCCTAAAAAGCACCAAGCCTCTAACAGACTTAAATTTTCAAAAAGTCTAGACCACATTACACAGCCTATCTGAGATTCTTTTGTCGGTAAAAGAAAGAAATGGTTGATACATAAAATATGGGAGCACACGGTTGTAGGCTGTGAAGGCAAATTCGGTACAAATGAGAAGTTCCTCCCAGAGCCCACCTGATGCTTTGGGGCAGGTTACTTAACCTTTCCATGCCTCAGACTCCTCATCTGCAAAAGAATAAGCAAAAGAGCAGCTAATTCATTGACCTGAGGGGGTTAAATGAGATAAACCGAAGTGCATAAGAGAGTGTGGCTGATGTAAGCATCCTGCCAGGTTAGCTTTATTTATTTTATTTTATTTTATTTTATTTTTTTAATAAAGATGACCGGTAAGGGGATCTTAACCCTTGACTTGGTGTTGTCAGCACCACGCTCACCCAGTGAGCCAACCGGCCATCCTTATGTGGGATCCGAACCCTTGGCCTTGGTGTTATCAGCACCGCACTGTCCCGAGTGAGCCACAGGGCCGGCCCAGGTTAGCTTTAACTAATACCATATTATCATTATCAGTAAAAATAGTATTCTCCATTATGATTTTAAAAAGGAAATTGCTTGTAAAAGGGGACGATTCATGGAATTCTATGACAATTGCAGCATAGAGGAAAGATGAAAGCAAAGAAGAGATGTGATGAGAAAGCCCATTGCCCAATCCCTCCATCCAGTGCTGAGCTACATATGAAGAATCTGGCATGCAACCTCCCTCCAAGCTCACGATGGTTAACGAACTAGCAGGTTTGTTTTCCAATATTTATGTGTTAAGCACTTGACATATGAAAGTAAGAGTGGAGCTGAAAAGTCTTCCCTTCAGTGCTTCTGGTGTGTTCATTGACATATCAGGAAATAGCGACCAGTTCAGCCGCAGTGCTGGGGTTTGGGTTGGAGTAGCATGTGTGTGGACATGGCTTCACAGCTTCTCTAGATGTGTCTGCATCTCCAAGGACTGGCCATGAGGCTCACAATCCCATCAGGACAGTCACAGGTGGGGAGGTGAAAAACCCCTGAGAGTCCTGATTTTCTCATAGGTACATAAGTGAGACTTGGGACCAGTCTTTTTGTGCCCGTTATTTTAAAATAAAATCCTGACTGGGTTTTATTTTCACATGCTATTTCAGTTCCCAAACTGGAATTCCTTTTAAGTTTTTAATGTAAGGGTACTGTCATAGTAAGGCTGAAGCCTAATTTGTGTCACATGGGGTAACAATGTCCTATTTTTCCTATTAATGCATTTGAGGCTGTTTTTATCAATTCAGTGTGAACATTTAGTATGAAAATTAATTGAACTGATGGAATTGGAAGTCTTTTATTTATTAAAAAATAAAACCATGATTGTACAGTTATTTGAAGAATTTTTTAAAAGCATTCCTTCAAATACTTGCACGTCTATGTGGTATTTTTTAAAAATCCTGAATAACCCAAAACTATTCTGGAGAAACAAGTACTGAGCTAAGATTAATATCAAGGAAGGGGATTGCTGATGTCTATATAATTTTGGTCGTCTTTCTCGGCACTGCTTCCAATCCTTTAGTTCAGGTTGGGAAACTTACCTGGTATTTAGCCAGCAGTTTACTCTTCCAGAAGGAATGGGCGATATCGTGAATTGACAGGCGCAGGTTGTGGGTGCTGCCTTTAAAGTGAAGAGCCTTTGGTTCTTCTAGGAGCTGTCCTCCCATCTGTCTTTCAAGATGTAAAACCTCCTGCAATGACATGTCCAAAACCCAAAGCGTGTTATTGAATGACTTCACTTCCGTCAGCTCTCATCAGATGAGTAAGTTTCTTCACTCTGCCTCCCGAACAGCACATCTAACTCTTGTAACACCATGAACATCCACTTCTGCAGCCCGGACACCCTCAAACAAAAGCCCCTGTCATTTTGTATGGGACTGGGCCCTACTGACAATGTTTTGGCAGTCTCCGTCACATTGTTGTGGAGCAAATTCAGTACAGCCTGTCCTTACTGACTGACAAGTAGAGTACTTAATCCAATAGGGGGATAACAATCAGAACTCAAAACCGGAAGAACCCCAAATAAAAGACTAAATAGGGAGAAATATAGATAAACAGATAAGAAAGCAGATTTTCATTTAACTTTTAGGTAAAGGGGCAAGTAACTGGAAGACAACCCCATGCCTTGGACTTGATAAACCAACCAACAAACAAAATATTGGAATTTGTTTAGACATTTAGTTCAATACCTTGTAGTTTTCCTTTAAGTACAAAAATAAAATCGTAAAATTTTTCCATTCCATTGATCCATTGCATAATTCCTAACTATTAAAAAATGAGAATATGTTCTTTAAATGTCCTACTAGAGGAAAATATTTTGATACAGAGTAGGAAGGTTTTTTCAACACCAAATATTGAACTAAACAGTTACTCAAATGAAATTTAAAAAAAAAACACCTTATTTTTCAAGAATTGTGGCTGATGAAAAAATTTGCTATGTACTTTTCTCATAAAGATATAACATGAAGACAAATTCTCTATATATACTTCCATTTCTCAAGCTAGTTAATGGAGGTTAATGAAGCATTTCCAGCTACAGCTGTAATTATCCAAACAGCAGCAGACCATTAGTTATCAATGAACAAACTATCCGGGTCTCCTTTGCTGTCTGAACCATCCCCACGCACTTTACTCCTCTCATGCCTTAAAAGTTCTAATGATACAAATATGTAGGCCATTTGTGACCTTTTTTTTAAATAGGGGTCCAGGAATATAATGGATTTTATTAAAAAATATAAAAGTAAAATATGATTTTCTTTTTTGATGATATTTCAATAGAAAGCAGGGATTTCAAGAACACAGGTGTTCATTCAGAAGGTCACACATATGTACTGGACACCTTAGCAGGGTACCAAGCACAGATGGGCCATGGCGGAGAATTTTATTGTGTTATACCCAGAAATGCATCCACTTTGCATTTGTTGAATGAATTCAGACCCATGAATTTGTAGTCCAGTAAGTGCAGAGCTTGCTAACATCATCGATTAGATGTAAACAGCTCACTGCAAGCTGCTTCTTTAGTGGTTCTTGGCATCCATCATCTGTGTGTCAGGCCACTATGGTGAACAATGCAAGCTGCTGAAAGGTCTGATAAGGTGTAGGAGATATTAGGATAATGTGGAATGTGGTCTCAGACAGGGACTCCTCTAATTAGTGTCTAATGGACACGATGAGGCAATAGCAGGCTGACGTAGAGAAGCGGGTGGCCCAGCTGCCTGAGAGTATTGACCTGCTATTTAACGTGGCTGGCTGATGAGTAGCTATTACTTGTGACAGGAGCTTGAGCAGTCAGCCAGCCCCCAACCACAGTCAGCCGGCCACCACAGCACAGATGTTGTGTCACTGTGTCCTGACTGCTGTGCCTGCAGCTCCGTGAGCCCAGCTACACAGGCACCTCACAGAACGCCCTCCACCACCCTGCACACCCCGGTCCTCTACAAGAATCCGGCCATGTAGAATGGAGGAAAATAAAAAAAGTGAGGGTTAATTGCCATTTCTTCTGCTGCTGCAGGAAGACATAATAAGCTTATGTTGATCACGCTCAGGGTCTAGTTAGCATAATAGAGAAAGCTGGTTTCCCAGTGAACCTGGCACCTGACAAATTCTAAAGCTAAAATGATGTTTGTTTATAAGCCATTAGAAAAAAAGAAACATAATTAGAAATCTTTGAGATTACAGTCATGCCAATCAATCAGTTCTAGCTTCTTTCCAGTATGCCCTAATTACCTCATCAAGATGTCTAAAGAGCAATCGATAGTAATTATCTGATTACAATAGATCTTCATTATGTCCAAATTATCTCCCTGGGACGTCTAAAAGAAGATGCATTGTATTCTGGGAGGTAATTGTACCCAACGATGTATAATCCATACCCCATCCCTACAATCACCATAGATTGCCAGAGGACACAGAGAGCATTATCAGTTTTCTTGGCAAGGAGGACCATTGGAGGAAACCCCAACTGCCTATTGGCCATGACCTTGAAGTCAAAAAATCTAATACCACGTTTTGAGCGCAAAGTCTGGGTTGGAGTCAGCTCAAGAATCAGGCTCAGTCCTTGATTCCTTTAGCAATGAACTCAAAAGTCATGGCAAAGAGTTCTCCCTAGTGGGGAAAGAGTGTGGACTGGCTTGTACAGCCCTTTTTTGAGAGTAAGAACCAAGTAAAGTGCCATTTTAAAGGCGGTGGGGCCAGAGAACACACTCTGTCCATGTTCCTCAGCTCTCCATCTCCCTATCAACCAGGAGTGACACAAAGCTGCTCTAGAGAGCTGGGAGCTACCGGCTTCTTTCTCCCTTTCACAATTGGGCATGACCCCTGGTGAAAGATAGACTGGCCATCAGGATGCTCCATGCCTAGAGCAGGGGCCTCTAAACATGTTCTCTTGCATATTCCTACCCGTCAAAGCTTGAGCATGCATTTTACATTTATTTATGTTATATACCTATATCAATACATCAGTATGTTAATATGTTACATTTATAAAGTTAAAAGTACGAACTAAGATAGATAAACACAGAAGTACTAAGATTGTCTTTTTTGCCTCAGTAGTTCATTGGGCCTGGGTGTGTGAACTCAGTTTTGGGGACTACTGGCTCAAACCGCTGTCCTTTCCCTAGGACCTAGGGGAGAAATCAGCGGAGGAGTGAACGATTTTGTAAGAAAAAACTTTACCAAACTTAAATTTGACATTTTTTCCTGAAAAGTAGCAACTGATATCATTACACTCGGGATGTTCAACTTCAAGGAAACATAACAAAATAAAGAAGATAACAACCAAAATGCAAATTACAGATATTTAAGCATGAATTACAGATATCTCAACCAATCACTAAAACAATCTTGGAAACTAAAATAATCTAAAACTGCACATGACTCAGAGCTGACTTGTCACATACGGTGAATCCCAAATATAAGTTCTGTGTCAGAAGATAGAAATAGCAAGCCCACTTGATAAGCTAACTAGGCTTTTGTTCCATATTGTTACTGTTTTAAGTATTATGACCTGAGATATGCTATAGCAGGTCCCACTTAAAAATATGCTGCAACTTGTACTTCAAAAAGCTTGTTTTCTGAATTCCTTCTGTGTGAAATCATTTTGGTTAGTGTGTATATGATACATATACATAAGAGGACATAAAAATAACAGAAATACAAATCAATAAGATATGGCTTTGCAGTTAAATGTTTTCTTCTCCTTAACCTTCCTGGGAACATTCATTCAACATCCACGAAGCACAGAAGGTCTGCCTGGATCTGTGTCAGGCACGACATAGTGCATGTGCTCAGGTCTAAAGCAGCTTCTAGATGGGCTGCTTTCAGATCACAAAGGTTAGGACATTTCACACACCTTAAAAGAGAATAAGAACAAAATATATTGAAGGTTAAAAGATTTAGGAAGTCTTAAGAAAGATATCCTGACCTTGAAAAGAAACGCCATAATAGGAATTAGGATCATCTAGGCTCTTTGTTCTCAGAAATGTAAATGTCACCTTCCTTTGCAGAGGTTATCCTTCCCCAGGGCGGCATCTCCCACCTTGTTCTGGCTCTGGGTGAATTCACCTGTTGCTCTGATGAGCTTGCTTGCTTATGTGAGAAGAGGTTCAGTTCTGACTTCCTTGTACAGTTGCACGCCACCCCTCAAACTTTACCTTGCATATGCACTCTCAAGAGTTGGTTATCGACAGGGGTGTTTCTAGCCCTCCCTCCATGGTGACATGCACGTCTACACACATAGGACTGCAGGCGTAGTGTCACCAGGCCCCTCTGCTCAGGATCTGAGTAATCCTGTGGGATGGGCTCCTTCCCCAGTGGGGAGCTGCCTCCAGCACAGACCCTGAGTGAGGGCTGTATTGATTCAGGGAGCATGTGAGGGATGGCTCTAAAGGCAGGGACAAGAGATTCCACAGTAGAAACAAGCAGCTTTCACAATAACCAATTAAACCAAGACATTATCCATGCCAAGCCATTAGCCTGGGCCACTTAAGAGCCACAATAAATCCAAGCTGTTTTAAAGGCCTGTGTGCATAGAGGGAGCACCGCTGGCCTGTACCCAGAGCTCTCCCAGGCTCGCAGACGAGAGAATCTGCCCTCATTAAGCCCTGACAGAGAAAGGCAAGAGAAAGGATACATCTGGAAGCCATATGACTCCCACACTGTGGTTTTTCCTAACTCCAGAATTTTTCACTCTGCATTCTGTCGGGGTTGGATTGCACCTGCCTCCTCCGCTTCTCTCTTCTTTCTACTCCCGGTCCTTCAGAGCCTGGGCAAAGCTCCCATAAGTGTTGATCTCACACCTATTGCTCCCTGGAAGCCCCCAGGTGACAGAATGGCACACACATATATGCTTGACTCTGAATATGACAAAGATATGACAAGACTCTGCCTGCAGGGCCCAAGCTGAAGCTGGGTTACAAAGCTACGAAAAACAGGAACTTTGTGCCAAGCCCTGTGAGGTGCAGGGCTCCACAGCAGGGCTGCTGGGCCCGGGCTCTCAGCCCCGTCCATGTTCCCTCCGCCCTCTGCTCCTCGTCCTCCTCCTCTCTCACACCACTGCTCTGAATCACGCCACCTTCTTCCCTCGAGGCATTTGTTTTAGTTTCAGTTTCTCAAGGGGTGATTTTCCTATGTGTGGATGATCTAGTCTTTAGCTAGACTCTGTCTGTCTCTCTCTGTATCTTGTTTTCTCTCC